TCTGGTACCATACAATGCCGTTTGATGAACCTTGGGGGGTATCCATTCATCCGGCAAATACAGAACAGATGTTTCCTTTCCTCTGCCTTTGACTCAGCCATGCTGCAGTGCGAGTGCACCCATTTGAACAGGGTCCTGACACAGCTGGCTTTATGGGGGGCCGGATGGTTGCTATAATAGTGGAGGATTTGATCTGTATGGGTGGGCTTCCGATAGACCTTGGTGTTCAAAGCTCCATCCATTGAGCGCTGGACTAAAACATCCAAAAAGGCTATCAAGCCCTGGATCTCCTCCTCCACCGTGAACTTAATATCCGGATACTGTATATTGAGTTCAACACCTCCATAAAGTCAGCCTGATGACATTGTTTGATGACCACAAACGTGTCATCAACATACTGTGCCCAAAATTTGGGCTGGTAGAGGGTCATGGCCTCCCGTTCTAGTTGTTGGAGAACCGCCTCTGCTACCACGCTAGATATTGGGGAGCCCATGGGTGTGCCTTTTACTTGCTCATATATGATACCCTGAAAAGTAAAATAGGTTGTTAAGCACAACTCTATGAGTTGTACTAAGTCCTCGGTTTGCAGGGAATCTCGTTGGCCAGCTCCTCCCTGTTTTTCTAGCTGGTCCTTCAGGACTCTAACCGCTAGATCAAAAGAGACCATCACCTCATCCTCCTCCACCCTAAGGGTCCTGATCCTTTCCAAGAATTCTTCTGCAGATCTGACCATAGTAGGGCTTCCATCTACCAAATAGGCGATGCGGTCACTAAGCTACTTCACCAACCCCAAAATGGGGGTGCCTCTGAATGAGACAATGGGGCGAATTGGAGCACCCTCCTTATGGATCTTTGGCAGCCCATAAAACCTCGGAAGTGCCGAAACATTGGGCCGTATTCTTCTCAGGGTGTCATCATCAAGTTTTTTTGCTCGTTTGAAGCTATCAAGTAATTTGTTGATTTTGTTCTTTAAGACCACCATGGGATCTTTCTCAATAGTTCTGTAGGCTGTTCTATCATTTAATAATTGCAGTGCTTTGGCTACATCAGCGTTTCTCAACGTTTGTGTGACGGCGACCCCCGTCACACAAACGTTATGTGCATGCGCGGCGCGGCGTGAATGGGGGTGTGGCGCGCGTGCGTGGTGCGTATGTGCGGCGGCGCCCCGTGCATGGCGCACATGCGCGGTGCCCCAGAGGTGCGGCACCGCCCCATGCGCAGTGCGCATGCGCGGCGCCGCCCCCGGAGGGGACAAAATGGCGGATCGCCACCTTTGCCGACCCCCGAAAAGTGGTCGATTGACCCCAAATGGGGTCGCGACCCATAGGTTGAGAACCGCTGGGCTACATAATGCACCTTGTTCAACACCACTGTGGCCCTCCCTTTATCAGCAGGGAGTATCACAATGGTATTGTCCCTTCTGAGTTGCCCCAGGGCCTCTATCTCATCTCTAGTTAATACCTGATAGTGCCTGTGGTGCATAAGTAGCCCAGTGACCTGCTGCCTAACCAAATTAACAGAATCCTCCCCCATATCTCCGTGGTGCATGGCGGGCTCCAACGCAGCGATAAAATCCAAAAAGTTGGCATCGGCGAGGTTGTATCCTACATTGCGCTGCAGCAGGGCGAGTTGGGGGCGAGTAAAGTTCTTTGAAGATAAGTTATGGACCAGGTTATCCATTCCCCCATTACCTTTGAAACCCTGTAGGGTGTCTATCTTACGCTGAAGCTGCATGGTAGTTTGTTGATTAGTTCTCTCCGTCATCAACCGAACGTGCTGAGAAAGCATTTGGAAATGTTGTTCCGATAAGTCCCTGTATGTGTGTGTGTGTGTGTGTGTGTGTGTGTGTATATATATATATATATATATATATATATATATATATATACACATACATACATACACACACTAAATCATATTTCCTGTGTTCTTCTGTGAGTTTTCTTATTGATTTCTATAGACTTACTGTATTAATTATTCTACTATAGGTATTTTATAGGTTTCTATGGACTTATAAACAGAGAACTTGGACAGGTCAGAGTAGCAACACTTGAAAATCGAGAAACCATTGATTATTTATTGTTAAGACATAATTAGGGCTGCAAAGTATTTTGTGGTATGTGTTGTTTCAATGTGACTGAAACCTAGGAACTCATAGAAAGTGACATCAGGAACCTAAAAGAATTAGCACAAGACATTGCATATGTTAAATTTCCCTTCAACTTCTTTGGGCTTTTCTTATGGCTACTAGACCGCCATTGGCTAAAAATTCTCATCTTAGGGGCAGTCACAGCAACCATTACAGGATTTTTCCTCTGCTGTCTCTGTCTCCTCCGCTGTCAAAGAACTGGCCTCTCAACCATTCCAAAACCAAAGAAGAAGGCAAACCAAGTCTCTTTAATGATGAGCTAATAGACAACAGATACCAAATTTATTCAGACAGAATCTAAGTTGTGCAAAATACATATATTTGAAAAAAATATGCATATTAGCACAAAATGGGGGAATTGTAAAAAGAATTTTAACAACCTTCCACATTCGATAACCCTCAGAAAAAAGGAAAAGAACCATCCTTAGAGGTTAAAAAAACCCTGCTTCCAAGCCAAGTGGATTAGCTTTAGGTAATCCCAAAAGAACATTCTGCAAATGGATTAATTGTATCCATTGGTGAGAAACAAAATGGCTAAGAATCGATTCTCAGTTTTTTAGACTGAGACAGATTAAATTGACAGGATTCAATTCTATAAACACAAGACCACACAAAATTTGCATTCCCCACCTTTCTCCAAGGCTAGCCTTAACACCATTCACCACCCAGGAAACCAGATAGGGACAATCAAAATATCAAAAGATACATTATTAAACTAATCAAATATGCCTTCAGGTGTCTCAGTCACAAAGGTTTAGAAAAGTATAAAAATCATTCTACTCACCCTTCCAATCAGCCAGCTGACCCAGAACCCACTGCTGTTGTCATGTGGTTTTGGGCTTCCTAAATAAAACCTCCTTTCTCAGCAGTCATTGCACCAACCTCATTGTTCCAACTGGATGGAATGAACCAAAGATTATTCTTCCAACATTATATACTTTGTACCTCCCAATACATGCCCTTCCCTTCCACTGGGATGTTCAGTTTTTCTTTATTCTCTAGCTTTTTTTCCATTCATCTCAGAATTAATGCTGATCCATTGTCAGATACAGAGAAAGAGTCAACCATCCTACTATCTGCCTCTATGAAATTTCTGATCCTTGTATCTTACTGTGTACGTTCCTTAAGTTTTTTAGGATTACTTTGCAATCTTTGCAAATGTTTTTTACTTGAGTAAAAAATACTGAAATATAAAAAAGGATGAAATTTATTTCTTGTTGCTTTGCCATATATGTTTAATGGATTCTTCTGGAGAAAGAGTAGAGACCACAGGGTACAAAAATCTATTTTATTACCTTATTGCAGGGAACAATGTATTGCAAAAAACCCCAAAAAATTATTAGCCAATAATATGTATCCTGATTTTTAAAACATATATGTATATAAGCTATCTTTCTAATTTTTATTTTCTGTGATTCTGTGAGCCATGTTTTAGGTCTGCATTTGCACTGTACTCGAGGACTACCTGTAGTTAAGGTTTCAGCTTTTCCAAGAGTTCTCTTCTTAAATGGTCATTTGCTCAAACATTTTGACATTTAGTTTTGTTCTGTCAGTCTTAAATCCTTCCAACTGCCTGGAAAAATCACTGCATTTTCTTGCCAAGGTTTTTCAGAAGGGGTTTGCCATTGCCCTCTTCCTAGGGTTATGAGAGGGAGTGACTGGCCCAAGTCACCCACCTGGCACAACTAGATGCCACTGTCTCCTCATTTCTAGTGTGGTGCCTTAAGCATTATATCAAACAGTTTCTTGCTCATTTTAGCTTAAGACTATTCTTTTTTTTCCCTTTAGAAGTGCTTTGGCAAAACCAGACTTGTGGCAGGGTGGGCAGGATGGGTGAGCTCATATTATCTTCTATAAACTTTTTGTAACCAGAACAATAACAAAACAAGAAATCAATTTCATAACTACGATAGACCACCATATACAGTAACATGCAACATCTTCAATTGGAGGAGATAACATATACTCCATTTTCTAATACCTGAAAAAAACAAATATAAATAGATGTACTCCAGAATATTTTATTAAAATTTGCTTGAAAAATACTTCATCCCAACTATTGATATGGTATACTAAAAGGCTTATTCAGATTTTGTGTTATCTATGCCGCCATATATCAAATACATTTTAAAATTTATTTCAGGTAAATGTACATAGGAATATATACCTAAAGATAGGACAAATACTTTGAGAATATAAGAATATTTTGGGAAGGTGTGATATGCATACTTATATGTATAATGTAAGTACCTTTTTTGAGGTTGAGGGGCTTTCAACTAAAGGAATATGACATTTTATCTGTATTTATATTCCTGTATTGAATGTTTCCTTCCTGTTTTCTTACCCTGATATTTCTTGTCCACATTATATTTTGCAGACATATTTCTTGTCCACATTATATTTTGCAGCCATATATATGGCTTTTCCCGCATATAATTGGCAGAATTATTAACCACTATCCAGCTTTTCCCCTACATGTGGCATGCAGAATAGACATTTTTTAAAAGCTGGAAGTAAAAAAGAATGACAAAGGAAGAAATATGTGCCAGGCATTTTGTTTCACCTCTCACTATTTACATTGCAGCCCACATTCTGTTAATAATCTGAGATATTATTATTATTATTATTATTATTATTATTATTATTATTATTATTATTTGTGATATGATACATGGTTCTAGAGGAAGCTATTGTATTCTTAATGGCAAATTATTTTAATGAACATGTAAAAGTCAGTATTATTTACACAAGTCAGTTTCATTTTGGTGTACAAGTCTCTTGAGGGAAATAAAAGATTAATAAACACTGAGAGTAGAAATAAGTATGACTGCAGATAGATGTTTCACTAAACGAAAAATAGCGGGATGGCATTTACTTAAAGAGAGATTTAAAAATATTTCTGTGTAGATTTTAACTAATGAATTAACTATATATTTAAAATTGGTGACTTTTCCACATAATAATTATGAAGATTAAAAAACAGACATTTGGACCAAACCTTCATGCTGATCACTAACAGATGAATTAGCACTGGCAAATTCATCTCATAATCTATCTCTATAGGAAAAAGAAATGCATGGTAAGATTCCTAAAGCTTTTTATTTTTCTGTTTTTAGACAGATTAAGTATTATGATTGTATTATTGTGCATTGATTCAACATTGTTGGAAAAAAATGCTGAAATGTCAGAGGTCAAAGGTGCAATAGATTGTGTCTCATTTTCTGTCCAAACTCTACTAGAGACATTATTGGCTTGTATTGAGTGGAAGGCTGCCTTTTCAAACTGAGTTTTCACTTCCTTCTGATTGTTGGATAAGGGAATTTATTAATTTATTCTGCTATTATTTGAGGCCCTTTGATTAAATGAATATTAAACTAGCAGTTATGTTGTAACTTAAATTCTATAATTTTCTGTTTAACAATATGCCTTTAAATACATGTTTAATAATCTTGTATTTAGGTATTGGTTTGAAGGCTTGTTGTGCTCTTATTTTAGCCTAATATCTGGTAGAGAAATTGAGAAAAAAATATTTTCATCACTTACATAAATACACACAGAGAGATATTATACAAAGAGGAAATGTCTGCTCTTAAGATTTCCAAATAAGAGATATAACAAATTATTTTCATATATATTGGCTAGATTTACATTGTCTTTTTTCTAGAAGCACAAAGCACCAGACATTGTATTTCTCCAATTTTCCAACACTACCACAAACCTGTAGGAATGCAGACACATTATGATGGGTCCAATTATTTTGAATAATCTTTCATTGATGAAAATAGACCTGAACCAACTTTATTCTATTCCTAGCCAATGCTTTTGATCACTGCATGAGATAGCACAACTGAAAAGAAGAAAGAAAAAAATGTGACTTTTTAGTACAGATGGGTAAAAGTGGAAACGAGAGTGCTTTAATATCCCCATCCTACATCTTTGTGTTTCATGTTCTGATCCTCTGTTCATTCTGCCCATAGTTTGGTTCTCAACACATATCAAAATGCCACTTCCAAAATTTTATCTAACTGAATTTCCCTTCTTTCTTTCTTTTCGGTTATGCCAGCTTTGTCATCAATAAAGCATGGAGAATCGAACCACAGTGCCTTATTTTCTGCTTCTGGAATTATCTAAAAATCGCCATCTGCAGCTTTTGCATTTCTTCTTCTTTTTTGTGTTATATCTGGCAACTGTAACAACAAATTTTCTCATCATCTCTGCAATAGCTTTTGACCATCGACTGCACAGCCCCATGTACTTCTTTCTCATGAATTTAGCTCTGCAGGACCTGGGTATTGTTTCAGTCATTGTCCCCAAATCCATGATAAATTCTCTTTTGGACACCAGACACATTTCTTATTTTGGTTGTGTTGCTCAATATTTTCTCTTTCTCTGCTTTGAAGCTTCTGATTTATCCCTCCTGACTGTCATGGCATATGATCGGTATGTTGCCATTTGCCACCCACTGCACTATGAGATGGTGATGAATTGGAAATCCTGTACCGAAATCATAATTCTAGTGTGGGTTGCTGGTCTCCTCTATGGAATGTTGCATACCACTGGCACTTTTTCCATCCTTTTTTGTTCTAATGTAGTTAATCAATTTTTCTGTGAAATTCCACAGTTGTTAAAACTATCCTGTTCTGGATTAAATCTACTTGAGGCTGGAATTCTTGTGGCCGGTGTTATTGCTGCACTAGGTTGTTTTACTTTTATAATTGTTTCATATGCTGTGATCTTCAAGGCAGTGTTTAGAATCCCTTCTGAACAAGGAAGGCAAAAAGCTTTATCCACCTGTATTCCTCACCTCACAGTAGTGACTATGTTCTTTTTAAGTGGATGCTTTGCCTACCTGAGACCTGCCTCTAACACCCCATCTTACTTAGATTTGGGGTTGACTGTTCTGTATTCACTTCTTCCACCTCTGTTCAATCCAATTATTTATAGCATGAGACTGGTGTGGCCCTCAATGAAATTCTGCTATGGCAAAACTAGAAGTCACTGCGTCCTGGTTTCTAGTGTGGTGCCTTAAGCGCTACATCAAACAGGTTCTCACTCATTTTAGCTCAAGAGTATTTTTTCTTTCATTTAGAAGTGCTTTGGCAAAACTAGACCTTTGGCATGGTGGGCAGGATGGGTGAGTTCATACTATTTTCCATAATTTTTTTGTAACCAGAACAATATGAAAAAGCAAGAAGTCAGTTTCATAACTGTAATAGATGATCATATAAGCTTAAGGGTTTCCAAATGGCTGGTAGGCGGGAAGTATCATCTTGTTTGTTCATGCTGTGTGGGCGTTTTTCTATCTCGATGGCTTCTCTGATTATTCTGTTATTAAAATGTTCAGTTTTGGCGATAATTCTGGTATTTTTAAAGTCAAATTCATGTCCTGTGGCTTTAAGGTGTTGGACCAGGGAAGATGTTGGTTCCTCTTTTTTGACTGAGTTCTTATGTTCTTCAATGCATGCACTTATTCTTCTGTTGGTTTGGCCAATGTATGTCTTGGGACAAGCAGTGCATAGGATTTCATATACTCCTTGATTTTCTAACTCGATTTTATCTTTGGGGTTTCTTAGGATGGTGGATATTTTTCTGTTTGTGCAGAATGCTGTTTTGATGTTGTGTTTATGGAGAATCTTGCTGATTCTGTCTGTGGTGCCTTTTATGTATGGGAGGAGGGCGTTGCCATTTTCTTGTTCTCTGTCTTGGATTTTAGTGGGGGTTTCTTTTTGGATTAGGTTTGTAATCTTATTTCTTTGGAATCCATTGAATGTTAGTACATTGGTGAGAGTGTGTAGTTCGGTTTTTAGGTGTTGTTCGTCAGCTAAGTGTTTTGTTCTGGAGATGAGTGTCTTGGCTACGAAGTTGATCTGTGCTGGGTGGTGGTGTGAGAGAGCGTGCAGAAAGCGGTTTGTGTGTGTTTTCTTCTGGTAGATGGTGTGTCCTAGGGAGCCATTGGATTTCTTGTAGACTAAGACATCCAGGAAGGGAAGTTGGTTATTAGTTTCTGTTTCCATGGTGAACTGTATTTTGGAGTGTAGGCTGTTGAGGTGTGTGAGGAAGTTGTCCAGTTTTTCTTTCCCATGTGGCCAGATTATGAAGGTGTCATCTACGTATCTGAGCCAGAGTTTGGGTTTGTGATCCAATTTTTCTAGAACTAGGGTTTCAAAGTGTTCCATGTAGAGGTTTGCAATGACAGGTGAGAGGGGTGATCCCATGGGTGCTCCTTCTGTTTGTTTGTATTTTTGTCCGTTATAGATGAAGTATGTGTTGGATAGGCAGTGGTTGGTCAGATCTAAGATGTGTTTGGGGGAGTTATATTTGTTTTGGATAGCTGTCAAGGCTTCTTTGATAGGCACTTGGGTGAAGAGGGACATGACATTGAAGCTCACAAGTAGGTCACTGGGCTGTAAGTTTTGTTTCTTTATGATCTCTATAAACTGGAATGAGTTTTTTACGTGTGAGGTGATGGATTCTGTATAGGGCTGTAGTTGTTTGGCGAGAAATTTGGCTAGGTTTTGTAGAGGTGAGCCTATGGAGCTGACTATGGGTCTGAGTGGGGTTCCTTCTTTGTGTATCTTGGGGAGACCATAGAGTTTGGGGCATCTGGATGATTTCTCTCTGGGAATTATTCTTTGCTTGATCTCTTTGCTAATGGGGAAGGCTTTTATTTTGGATCTGGTGGTTTTTTCCAGGTAGGTGGTGGGATCTGTGTTTAGGGGTTTGTATGTGGAGTCTTGGAGTAGGTTGGTTAATTTGGTTTGGTAGTCAGATGTGTTCATAACCACCATGGCGTTGGCCTTGTCTGCTGGTAGGATTATTATGCTGCTGTCTTCTTTCAGGTTATGTAGTGCTGTCTGTTCCTCTTTGGGTAAGTTGCTCTTGGGTGGCTTGCTGGTGCAGAGGATGTTGGTGATTTCGAGTCTGATTCTGTTAGCGTCATCAGGGTTGATTTTGATCAGGCTGGTTTCAACTCCACATATAATGGTTTCAGTGGGGATTTATTTGGCAGCAACTGCAAAGTTGAATCCTTTGGAAAGGACATTGGTTTCGGCTTTGGTGAGGATCCTATCTGAGATGTTATCCACTGTTTGTTTCATGTGTGGCTGTGAGGGAGGAGGGGTTTGTTTCTGGCATTCTGACTTCAAATTTTTCATAGGTCCTGGTCAGATGGTGGATTTCCTCCCCGTAGAGGTTCGATATTTGTTTTCTGAGGTTTTCGCGGGTGTTTGTATGTAGGTCTTTGGTTATTCGGGTTTTCTCCCACGTAAAATTGGAAGTGTTTTGGCAACGTTTCATCTTCAGGCTGGTGTTTTCAGCTTCATGCTGAATATATATAAATCCAATATATATATATAATATATATATATATAAATCCAAATTTCTTTTTCTGATGAAGAATTAAAGAATTAAATTGGGAGACTAAGATGGCCATTTCAAGCTCATTCTGCTCTCTTCAGTTAGACACACCCTTTTATGGGATTCGAATCTGGGCAGTTTACATACTAGGCAGTGATTTAATCACCAAGCCACAGGCTTTCCTCCCCTCTTTGCCAGCCGAGTCAAGGGGGTATATACATGAAGTTTTTTCAGACAGACTGGTCTGATTGATTACACCTTGGCATTTTTATCTGCTATACTGCAGTTATACTTTTTACAATCTCTTTTGCCTTGCTTAATGCCCCTAGTTGGGGGGGCTGCAAGGCAAAAGAGATTGTAAAAAGTATAATTGCAGTATAGCAGTTAAAAATGTCAAGGTGTAATCAATCAGACCAGTCTGTCTGAAAAAACTTCCTGTATATATATATATATATATATATATATATATATATATATATATATATATATATACACATACATATACAGGATACACCCACACACACACACACACATATACATACATTAGGTCATAAATCATGAACAATTTTTGAGGGAAGGGGTAAATTGCATTGTATACAAATTGTAATAAATAAATTATAAATTAAATAGTTAAAAGATTGTAAAACATTGTAAAGTGATGGTACTAAAGCTCCTACTTTAGCATAGAAATAATTTCTTCTAAAGATTCACTCCAACAGGATCCTTTTCTCTTCTGATGTGGTTTATGTTAACAATGTCAACTAACATATGCTCCACCAATCAGGATCAGTTACTTAGGAGTTTATTTCCTTTTCCTTCTGGAACATCTAATTATGAAATTATCCTACTGGCATTTGTGAACTTCTTATAGCTTTTATTTACATCACTAAAAGCATCACAAAGAAACAGGAACAGTGTCACACAGTTTCAAGCAACTATTACATTACAAATACTCCATGCATAATCTGGATGTTCTCCTAGACAAGCGGTCTCCAACCTCTGCTCTGTGGATTGGCACCAGTCTACAGCCTACCAGGAACCAGGCCACCGAAGCAAGTAAAGCCCCATCCACGCATGCATGGAATCCGGGTAGTGTACAAAATCATTCATCTCCTGCCCATAGAAAAACTGCATTCCAGTTTGGTGCAGAATAGTTTTGGGGCCTTTGCCCTAGTCTCATAACTCCTTTTCAAAGACCAGGTGACAGTCATTGCTAGGATAGTTTTTGCACAAATTCATATTGTGTACCAGTAGAATATTTTCCTGAAATGTGAGGTCCTGCATGTGTCCTGAAACTTTTCTCAGTGAGATGAGTCCAATATAGGTTAAACAAACAAACAAACAAACATAGAACATCCTCTATATGGGGCTACCCTTGAAGAATATTTGGAAGCTAGAAATGGTAAAGAATGCAGAGCCATGGAAACTGATTGCCAGTTTGCTTGTGGATCCTTTTCAAAGCATTAGCCTTTATGGCATCAGTCCATGGTATCTGAGGGGCTGTCTCACCAACAGTATTGGCCAATCCCACTTATTCCAATGGAAGGGATGTACTTTGGACCCCTTCTGCCAGAAAATTGTGGCTTGTGGGTTCCAGGAAAAGAGCCTGCTGTGGCCCTCATCCTTATGGATGCCTATAGAGATTCTCAATCATCCAGGTCATGATTGTCCCACAGATGTTTTATTTTCCAAAAAGCAACTGGACCTTCTTGGGTTTTTCCTTTAAAAACTTAGAAAAGTTAGAACTGGGAAAAACTTCTTGGGTATGATGACCCAGGGTCCTGAACAGAGGCAAAGCAATTAACTGGTCAGTACAATTGTCTTTTTAAGCACTGCCAACGTTCACCCAACAGCCCCCACATATGCTGGCACAAGTTTAATAAAACAGTCAGGGAAGTTTACATGGTTCTTTAAAATAAAACAGATAACAAGCAAACGTATAATCCTTTCAACTCCCAGCTTGCCTGTGAACTGCAAATTGCAAAACTGCAGACAGTAAGGAGAAATCAGCAGGAAGCAAACTTGGTCCAAAATACAAAGTGTCCAGGTACAAGAGCACACTACCACAAGAGTTCATGTTTGTTCCTGGCAAATGCCCCACCCCATAGCGTCTCCCTAAATCCTACTCCCCAGGTGTGCCTTATGGAGTGGGGCGTGACACTCTCCTCCCAAGCAAGTGAGCCTGCCTCCATTGTTCCCTCCTCCTCTCTGTTCTCCTGCTCTGTGATCAGGTGGGGAGGGGCCTTGCTCCTCGCCTGAACTCTGCCTTCCTTGTTCCAAACTTGAAGGGCCCTGGCCTGCTTCAGCCTGTTCCTCCCCACAGTCCTCCAAAGCCACAGACACCCTCTCCTGGGCCTCAACAGGGAATTCCATGTCGTCCTCAGAGTCAGGTTCAGACAGAGGCATGATATCAAGTGAGAAGCAAAATATGGGAGACCCTTTGGAATTTTCTCCTCTTTGACGTATGGTCAGCTCCCAATAATTATTACATCCTTCCCCTTTTCTACTGTTGTCCCCTAATATTTGCTTTTGTATTTTCATATTTTATATTATAAATGAATAGAACTAATAAAAAGGAACAGATAAAATATTAGGCTTTAAGAATGGGATGTCAATAAAAATGCCAGTGAAGTATTGTCATCCAATTTTTTTGTTTTGGTAGCCTGTTCTCTGAAAATCTTGAAGAGGAATTTTAAAACTCCCTGTCAATTTCTGTCCTTGTAGTAAAGCATACAATTTTTGAGACCATGTATCTCTCTTTTTTAAATTTGATTAGAGATGGATATGATAAATACTGATAAAATTTCCATGAGGTAGCAAAATTAGATAATTTAATTATGTAAATAGCACAATATTGGAAATTGGGACCAATTAAATGGATAGAAGTTCCAATATCCAGTATATAGGATTTATATTATCCTTGATATTACAAAATAATATAACAACCAACAATTTAGAAAGCAATAATAAAATAAAATCCCAGGTTATTAAATCTGTTTCTGAACTTGCTTTTGGCAGGTTTCCTCAATTAATCTATATTTGAGTTTTCAGTTTGGAAAGTAAGAATTTGTGAGTTTCAACCCTAATCCTATTGATAACATCATCTATGATTGTCTAATGAAATGGGATGGCTGATATTAGAACACTCTCAAATGCACTACCTGTTAATGGCTAATTGCATTCATAAAAAACTTACAATGATAGTTTTATTTTGTCTAGTTTACGTTGTGTATTTTTGATATGTAATTGTCTCTTGAGAGAAACAAAATAATTAATAAGCTTGCTGAATATAAACTCAGCCTTTTTTCTCAAGATAGATCTGAGCATACTTTTATGCATGTATTATAGGGCCAATATTTAACAGTTTATAAAGCTACAATAATTCTATGAAGAAAAATTGTAGAGTAAGTACACATAGTGTGCATATTAGTGTATTAGCCATTCAACAGAAAAGCAATTCCCCTCTTATTGAGATAAACTAGCATTTATTTAAATTTAAATCACATGACTGTACATTTGTTTATAAGGTAATTTTCACACTGAGAAAAGGATTTAGTAAAATGATATTATATGCTAGTGTTCTTCTAGAATGTTAAGGGAAGGAAGATAACAAGGGGAGATTTATTTTCAGACATTTGGTCCTAAAGACAGAGTAAATTAAAGATAATTAAATCTAGATACAATCATATTGTGAATTAGAAAAAAAGAGAATCTATGGCTGGTGATTGTATCCTAAACAGAAAATCAAGTGCATATTAAATATAAAAGTTTAATGTTAACAAAGAAAATGTTAATGGAGAATTTTGAGCAGAATGTGAAAATGTCATCCTGAGTTCTCATTTTTCTTGATAAAAGTATGCTTTCTTCAGTATTGTAATTTTAGGTACCACCTGGTGAATATGATATGAGAATTATTTTTATTTTTGTAAAATTTTTGTAAAATATTATTACGTATTTTAATGTACTCTTTTATAGGTATTTATCAACCAATATTAATGCTATTATTTTTTCAGCCACAACATTCCCAGAACTGCTGATAAAATGATTCTCTTGTGTGTGTGTGTGCCTGTTTGTATGTCCCTGTTTGTGCATGTGTGCATATGTGTGTATGATTTACACAAATTCAGGCACTTGGAAATCTGTTCCCTCGAGTTAAGATGTAATTTATCTTCTAGATCTGTATCCTGTCTTTCCTTCAAGAGTTCATTCTATATATTGGAGATCTGTATCCAATTTTTCATCACTGTAACAATTCTGCAAGGAAGATAAGAAATAATTATTATTCCAAAACTTCAGGAAATTTCCAGAAGGTCTTCCAAGTCCTATACAAACAGTGCAACCAGGAAAAGAATGGAATGGAAGGAAATAACTTGTGATCAATAGGTTGGAATTCAATCAATCATGGATTTATGTATAGAGATAACACTGTGATTAGGCACAGGAATGAATTGCATCCATTATTTTAATTATGTAATTCTATTTTCATTCTTTACAGTTTTTCAGTCTATTTTTTATTCTGTTCACATTTATGTTTATAAATTAATTTAATTAAATCATAAACATGAATAATCACACAACAGTGCCTTACTTTTTACTCCTGGAATTCTCAAAGAATCGACATTTTCAGCTTTTACATTTCTTTGTGTTATATCTGACAACTATAACAGCTAATTTTCTTATTATCATGGTAGTAACTTTAGATAATCAATTGCATAGCCCTATGTACTTGTTCCTGATGAACTTGGCTATGCAGGATTTAGGCTCAGTTTCTGTTATAGTCCCAAAATCCATGGTGAATTCCCTCGTGGAGACTAGATATATCTCTTACTCAGGATGTGCTGCTCAAGTGTTCATATTTATCTCGTTTGCAGCTTCTGATTTATCCCTCCTGACTATCATGGCATATGATCGATATGTTGCCATTTGTCATCCATTGCACTATGAGATGGTGATGAATTGGAAATCCTGCACTGAAATGATGATTCTGGTTTGGGTCACTGGTGTTCTCTATGGAACACTGCATACCACTGGCACTTTTTCAATTCCTTTTTGTTCTAATGTTGTCAACCAGTTCTTCTGTGAAATTCCACAGTTGCTAAAGCTATCCTGCTCTGGCTTCAATCTAGTTGAACTTGGAGTTCTTGTGGCCAGTGTCATAGCAGGAATTGGTTGTTTTAATTTTATTATTGCATCTTATGTCATGATATTCAAGGCAGTACTTAGAATTCCTTCTGAACAAGGAAGGCAAAAAGCTTTATCCACTTGTGTTCCTCACCTTATAGTAGTATCTATGTTTTTATTAACTGGATGTTTTGCCTACCTGAGGCCGCCCTCTAATACTCCATCTTACTTAGATTTTGGGGTGACTGTTCTGTATTCCCTTCTTCCACCCCTGTTCAATCCAATAATCTATAGCATGAGAAATAAGAATATCAAATTTGTCCTTTCAAAACTCTGGAAATTCTGAAAATTACCTTTAATGTTGTTTCTATTCTGTTCATCACAGTTTTTTGTTTTCCTATCCTTTTCCCCCTTACATCTTTGAATTAAGGGTAAGTTAAAAAGGAAGCACAATTGAAATCCAGGCAAATCCAATTTTCAATCCAGAAGAATGATAGAACTTCAAAAATTGCTGAATTCCTGATTACTGTCAATGTAGTTTATAGAGGCTAAATGTAGATATTAGGCAGCTTCTAGCATGCCACAGGCTAACATCCCTTGATCTTTAGTGAAATAGGATCAGAGTGTAATATGATTATGAAAAAACATCCGTAATTGAGAGGAGGTTTAAACAATATTTCCTACTTTTCTCTGTTCTTTAGATATAAAATGGCTTCTCCTCTAATGCTTGCATAATAATATGGCTAGTTAAAGCTTTAGCTTTTCCAAAAGTACACAGGGCTTCTCTCTCTTTAAATGGTCCTTTGATTGCACACTTTAATATTTTGCTCCTTCAAATCAATATGGACTCCTGACAACTACCTGGAGAAGTCCCTGCAGTTCTGTTGGCAATGATTTTTAGCAGAGGATTGCCATTACCTCCTTCCTGGGACAGAAAGAGAGAAAAAGAGAGAGACTGGCCCAAAGAAACACAGCTGGCTTTGTTCATAAGGCAGACTAGAGCTTGCAGTGCTCCAATTTTTAGCCTGATACCTTAAACTGGTATGCTAAATTATTCTCACACAATTTAGTTGAAGTGCATTATTTCTTTTCTTTAAAAAATGTTCTGACAAAACCAGACACTTGACAGGAAGGGCAGGATGGGTGAGCATGTAGCATGTTGATAACCGTAAGGAATACAAAATACAATACAACTTGATACAAAGTGGAAAAGATAATTTATGATTCCTGGTCCAATACCTGGAGAAGGGCTGATAGATAAAAGTACACAATGAAGGAGATCTTGGAAAGAGGGAAGATTTGGTTAAATACTTTGGGGCTCTCTATAAGTGTACTTAGGAAGATGCCAAGTGCTTACTGGATTTATCTAGCCAAGATCAGTACCTTCTTTTGATGAAGGTGAGGGGCTTCCAGTTAAAGGGATATGACATTTTATTCCTCTATTGAATGTTGCTGAATTGTTCTCCTGCTTTATCTATGAATATATCTTGTCTACATTATACTTTGCATTTAAATTTATTATTTTTCTCTGCTTTGCTTAATAAAATAATCGGTTATTTACCTAATTTGTGTGAATATTGCTTTCATGAACCTCCTATTCACATTTTTGTGTGAAAAAAATGAGTTAGCCCATATATTTGCAAGAGATTTTCTAATTCCTGTCTATATATTTTATTCTCAGAAATGGTATCATATATAATGATAAATAATGATTGTTGGAATCTCAAAATAAACTGATAAATGATGATTATAAAAATATTAACTAGGTTCACAATGTCATGCTAGCCTCCAAACTAAAGAAATAATATGACTCAGCAAATTGTGTAAACAAGGAAATAATAATTTACAAAGTATTTTTTTAAATTTATATTTACCTTTTAGAAAAAAGAAAATTCAGTAGAAGAGGACTGAATGGTTTTACTTCTATACTGAATTTTTGATGTGTTTGTAGGATGGCATTTTTTTTTCCAAATAGAAAATATGGAAAGGATTCTTTATAATTAATTCCAAAATCTCATTTCAAATTTCTGGACCTTTAGTCCATTTGTTAGTTCTCAAAATGTTTCCAAATTTCAAATGATAGTAGTAAATCATTGCAGTCATTTAGCAAGATGCCCACATGACTGCCTTGCTCAATGACTCCAATTCAATACTCCCTGTTGTGATTGTTAAGTGATTGTGTGGGTTAAGAGATGTATGGAGTGCCTCACTGGATGAGGGGACCAGATGCAAGCTCAGGCCCTCTCTGTGGTACACAATGTACTTTCCTTGTCTGATTGGCTAGAATGGACTGTAGTAATGGGATGAAGATGGTTCCCTGGGTAACCTATTAAAGCTTTAAAGATCATAATCAACACCTTGAATTGGAATTGTAAGCAGATGGGCACTCAATATAGGTTATGTTGAGTCCTTGGCTTAATGGCGAATGAGCACAGAACATCTCGTTATTCCAACAAGTCTTTATTTGCAGTCTCTTCCACTCCGTTACAGCTCTGAGGCTCTCAGGCCTCTCCGTTCCTTTTAACAATGTTCCCCGGGCAGAATGGCAACAATTAGGCGCGCTCTGCGCCTCGCGCATGCGTGCGACGCCGGCACCAGCCAGTCTGGTCCCAGGCAGCTTGCAACTGCCCGGGACCATTGCAACACCCCGAGCCTGCCTTTGCAGGCTCAGGACACAACACCCCTTCCCCCCCGGCTAAGACTTATAAACTATATTGATAGTTATACGCAACCTCAACATGAGTGTGGTGTGCCAACCCCACCAACCAGCACATCTATTGCAGCTGGGCCATACCCACACCACAATGGTACCGGGCTATTGTTCTGGGATTAATACCCAATGCCTGTATTTCCAATTTCCACAACAGCAGGCACCCTCTCACTGTTTCTGCTTTGCCAGCAGAGTTACAAAGTCCTCAAGATACTTGGGAGATCTTTTTACTCTCTATGACCTCCTTAGAATCTGAGAATCCCCTATTTCTTCTTGCACAGAGGATGACATGGAGTTGCCCCCTCTTTCAAACCCTGGTGGTCCCCATGAACCGTGCCCCATTGCCTGGTCTGCTTGCTTGCCCACCAGGCTCATCAGACCAGGACTTTGCTCTCCCAATAACCTGGTTGACCTGCCTAGTTGTAGGTTCTCTGGCCCCTCTATAAGCCTGCCACTGTTTGGCAACTCTGTAGAGCTTTCCAAGCCCACACTGGACCTATCAAGGGACTGCATCCCTTCACTCCCAAGTCCCGTAACCGAACTGTTTGGGGTTTCTGTATTTCCCTAAAACTCAGTTGCCCCCCAATCTGTGCCAGAGGTGTCAGAATTGGGATTTGCCTCTCCGACCACCTCCCTGTGTGAAGGTTTCCTTCTGGAAACAGTAGCAGTACTGGGCCAACTAGACTGTTTGTGTACCAGCTCTCTTGCAATGTTTGGGTTATTAGGATGCTCCCGGTTATTCTCCCTGAATGGAGTCCTGAATGGTAGTTGTGAATGAGAGTATGCCCCCTGGGTGACTCCCTGGCTGGAGTAGGCACTGGTGCCTGTGTGATTTCTTGTTCCCTTGGATTCCTGTTTGGAACACTTGCAGAACCTTGGAATAGGCCGTCTGTGGCCTCTCTGTTTGGCCCCCGCTGCTGCCAACACCCATCCCTTTGCCCATAGTGGTCCCCCTCCCCCCTGGAAAAGGCCCAGGAGTTCCAGAGGGTAAGTCCAGTCTTGTACGCAGCTGGTCGATATGCCGCCGAAGGACACAACTGTCATCCAAAGAGACCTCGTATGACAAAGGGCCAGTAACCTTGCATACTACAGCAGGAACCCACAAGTGACCAGGCCCGTAGTTACGGGTCCATACCGGGGCATCCACTTGCAGATACTGTGGTGCCCTGGGTTGGGTGGCCTTAGGAGGCAGTCTGTCCGGGTGCAAACTGTCAAGTTTGGTGATCAGTTTGCGCCCCCAGCGGAGTTCAGCTGGGCTCTTCCCAGTGGAAGTTGAAGGTGTGGTGCGGTACGCAAGAAGAAAGTCTGCCAACCTGTGGTGCCTGTCCCCGCAGGTCAGTTTCTTTAAAGCATCCTTGGTGATGCAGACCATCCGTTCAGCCGTACTGTTGGTGGAAGGGTGGAATGGTGCAGAGGTGGCATGATGAATCATGTTGGCCTGTAAGAAAGCTTGAAACTCGAAAGAAGTGAATTGAGGGCCATTGTCAGACACCAAAACATCCAGAAGCCCATGTGCAGCAAAAATCCCCCTCAGTACTTGAATGGTCTTGGCAGCAGTGGTTGAAGAGACAGGTACAACCTCAAGCCACTTTGAATAGCTATCAACAAGGACCAAGAAGAATTGACCCTGAAAGGGCCCAGCGTAATCAATGTGCACCCTAGACCAAAGTGACTGTGTTTCCTCCCATCTATGTACAGGAGCCTGGGGCATTTCTGGGCATGAGCGCTGACACAGGTGGCATCCGTGAAACTTAGCCTCTATATCCCTGTCTAACCCTGGCCACCACAAATGGCTGCACGCAAGCATCTTCATTCTTACAATGCCAAGATGGCCCTCATGAAGGGAAGCCAAGACCCTAGGCCTCATTGAGGTAGGAATAACAACTCTGCTGCCCTACAGCAGACAACCCTGAAAAGTGGATAACTCATGTTTCTTAAGCCAGAAACTCTGAAACTCAGTACCTGGACAACTCTCTGGCCGTCCAGACAAAACCCAGGATAATACACGAGTGAGTGTGAGGTCCATGGCTGATTCAGCAGCCACATCCCTGGCATTTAAAGGTGACTCAGGCAGCGCCTGAATGGAAAGGATGTTGATGGCAGGGGCAGGATCAGCCTCTACCATTTGTAAGGGTAATCTACTAAGGCCATCAGCATGGCCCATTTCCTTGCCAGGTTTGTGAACTAAAGAAAAATCATAGGCTGACAGAAAGATGGACCATCTCAGCATTCTGGGGGAGATGATATGGGGGGTTTGTTTGTTTCTAGTAAACAACCCCAACAAGGGCTTATGGTCAGTGTAGACCATGAAATGTCTGCCATATAGAAAATCATGGAATTTTTTAATCCCAGCAACAATGGCCAAGGCTTCTCTGTCTATCTGAGCATAGTTTCGCTCAGCAGAAGACAAGGTTCTGGAGTAATATGCAACAGGAACCTGAGTTCCATCAGGTCTTAAATGGCTAAGTACTGCTCCCACCCCATAAGGGGAAGCATCACAAGCGATGCACATAGGAAGAGATTAATTAAAATGTGCAAGCACTATTGGATGTAAGTAAGGCCTTAACCTCATTGAAGCTTGCTTCATGTGCTTGTGACCACTGCCACACTGCCTGTTTGTCCAAAAGCCAATGAAGTGGCTCAGCTACATTAGCTTTGTTGGAGATAAATGCATAGTAGAAGTTCAAGAGGCCCAGAAAAGCTTGTAATTCAGCTTTAGACTTAGGCCTAGGGGCTTGCAGAATAGCTTTTAATTTAGACTCAGCAGGATGAATGCCATTGGCATCTATTTTGAATCCCAGGAAGTCTGTAGAAGACACTCCAATTTTACATTTGTCTTTTTAAAGCTTGAGGCCTGTTTTCCTGAATCGCAGCAGAACAGCCCTCAACCTCTCAGCTAAGTTTTGAGTAGAGTCTCCAGCTATTAAGACATCATCAAAATAGGGGCAAACCCCTGGTATACCCCTCAAAGTGTTTTCCATTATGCTTTGGAAAATTCCAGGAGCCACATTTACTCCAAACTGTAGTCTTTTGACTTTGAATGCCCCCCCATTAGTTACAATGGTTTGTGCTTCAGCAGCAGCTTCATCAACAGGTAACTGTTGATAAGCCTGTGCTAAATCCAGCTTTGCAAAAATACCCCCCCCCTTTGAGGGAATCCAGAATATGACTGACTACAGGTACAGGATATGCATGCTGTTACAATGCCTTGTTTAGAGTGCATTTGTAATCTGCACAGATGCGAATGTCCCCATTAGCCTTAAGAGGCGTGACTATGGGAGTTTCCCAGGGACTTGAGTCAACAGGTTCTAAGACACCTTGCTGAATCAATTTGTCCAATTCAGCATCAATTTTCCCTTTCAAAGCAAAGGGTACTCTCCTTGCCTTTACTCTGATAGGAGTGACAGTGGGGTCCAGCTTTAAGGAAACTGGGGGGCCTTTGTATGCACCCAGCTGAAGGCTGAAGACATCTACAAATTCTTTGCAGTCTTCCTATAAACCTAATGTTTGCAAACTGTGAAGCCCTGTAACTTGTATTCCCAAGGTCTCAAATCAATCGAGTCCAATGAGACTCGTGTGCTCACCCCCAACTACCATTACATCTAATGGACCTTCAAAATCCTTGTATTGTACATTAAGGGTGGCCTCCCCCTTAACACACACCTTGGAATTTTGAAAGTCTGTTAGAACTATATTGGATGGCCTAAGCTTGGCCTGGAACCCCCTGCTAGAGCAAATCTTTCTGAATGTGTGAATGAAATAATTGAAAGTGCAGACCCAGTGTCTAGTTCCATAACCAATGGAACTCCTTGAAACTTCACCTTAAGTGACAGTTTCTTTTTAAGTGGCTTGTGTGTGCCTGTCCTATAAATGCTTCTTTGTGATGCACAGAAACCCACCCTGTTTTGGCTGGGGACCTTGGTACCTTTCAGGCACAATTCTTCTCGGGGTTGTACCTTCTGACTGCCCAGACAC